AGATGGCTTCACAGGTGAATTTTACCAAACATTCTGAGAACACCTCTGCTTCCAAACTATGTCATAGAATTCAAGAGGAAAAAAGGCTCCCGAACTCATTTTATGAGGCCAGCATTATCTTAATTCCAAAACCAAAAGAAAGAAAATTATAGGCAAATATCACTGATGATCATAGATGCTAAAATCCTCATCAAAATATTAGCAAACCAAATACAGCAATGCATCCAAAAGATCATATACCATGATCATATGGGATTTATTCCAGGAATGCAAAGATGGCACAACATTGTCAAATCAATAAATGAGATTCACCTCATAAACAAGGTAAAGGATAAAAAGCACATGATGATATCAATAGATACAGAAAAAGCTTTTGATAAACTCCAGCACTGATTTATGATCAAACTCATAGTGAAGTGGGAATAGAGGGAACATACCTAACATAATAAAGGCCATGTATGACAAACCCACTGCCAGCATCATACTCAAAGGGCAAAAACTACAAGCGTTCCCTTTAAGATCAGGAACAAAACAGGGATATCTGCTTTCACCTCTCATATTCAACATAGTACTGGAAGTCCTAGCCACAGCAATCGAACAAGAAATAAAAGGCATCCAAATTAGAAATGAAGAAGTAAAACTGTCTTTATTTACATGTGACATGATACTGTACATAGAGAACCCCAAAGTTTCACCAAGAAACTACTAGATGTGATAAATGAATTCAGCAAAGTAGCGGGATACAAAATTAACATCCAGAAAACAGTTGCAGTTTATTTGCCAATAATGAAATAAAAGAAGTAGAAATTAAGAAAAAAAAATCCCATTCACAATTGCTTCAGAAAGAATAAAACACCTAGAAATAAACTTAACCAAAGATGTAAAAGATCTGTCCTCAGAAAATTATAAGTCACTGAAGAAAGAAATTGAAGAAGATACTAATAATGGAAGTGCACTATCTATGTTCATGGATAGGATGAATTCACATCATTAAAATGTCCATACTACCCAAAGCAATCTATAGATTCAATGCAATTACTATCAATATTCCAATGACACATTTCACAGAACTAGAACAAATATTTCAAAAAAATTACATGGAAAAACAAAAGTCCCCACATAGCAACAGCAATTCTGAGAAAGAAGAACAAAGTTGGAAGGATCATGTTACCTATATTGAACTGTACTACAAGGCCATAGTAATCAAAACAGTCTGGCACTGGCATAAAAACAGAGACATAGACCAATGCAATAGAATAGATAACCCAGAAATAAACCCAGACATTTATAGTCAATTAATATCTAACAGAGGAAGCAAGTACATACAATGGGCTAACAATAGTTTATTCAATAAATGATAATGGGAAAATTGGTCTAGAAAGATGAAACTAGACCATCTTCTTACATCATACCCAAGAATAAATTCAAAATGACTTACAGACTTAAATATTAGACCCCAAACCATAAAAATCCTAGAAGAAAACATTGGCAGCAAAATATCAGACATTGCTTGTAGAAATTTTTTATTGAACATATCTCCCCAGGGAAGGGAAAGAAAAGGAAAAAATAAACAAATGGGACTACACCAAACTAAAAAGTCTTTGAACAGCAAAGGAAATCAACAAGATAAAATGACAACCCACAGAATGTGAGAACATATTTGCCAATACATCTGATAAGAAGATAATATCCAAAATTTACAAAGAACTTATAAAACTCACCACCAAAAAAAAAAATAAACAACCCAATTAAAAAATGGGCAAAGGGCTTGAACAGACATTTCTACAAGGAGGACATATGGATGGCCAATAGGCATATGAAAAATGTTCAACATCACTAATCCTCAGAGAAATGCAAACTAAAACCACAAGGTGATATCACACCATACTTGTCAGAATGGCTATCATCAATAAATCAACAAACAGAAAGTACTGGTGAGGATGTGGAGAAAAGACAACTCTTTTGCACTGTTGGTTGGAATGCAGACTGGTGTAGCCACTGTGGAAGGCAGTATGGAGATACCGCAAAAAATTAAAAATGGATCTTACTTCTGACACAGCAATTCCAGTTCTGGGAATATATCCGAAGGAACCCAAAACACTAATTCAGAAGAACATATGCACCCCTATGTTCACTGCACCATTATTTACAATTGCCAAGATATGGAAGCAGCCCAAGTTTCCATCAATAGATGAGTAGATGAAACAACTATAAATGAGTGGATAAGACAACTATAGGACAATTACACAATGGAATTCTACTTAGATGCAAAAAGAAGGACATTTTACCCTTTGCAAAAGCATGGATGGACCTGGAGAACATTATCCTAAGTGAAATAAGCCATTTAGAGAAAGGCAAATAGCATATGATTTCACTCATATGTGGAATGTAATGAATAAACTGAACTAACAAGGAAAATAGACTCATAGACGGAAAATAGAGGACAGCTAGTGGGGTGGGGGATTAGAGTGTAGAGGGATTAGGCAAAAAAGAAAAAGGACTCTGGACATGGACAACAGGGTAGTAATTGCTGAGGGGGATGGTGGGTATAAGGGGACAAAATGGTAATGGAAAACTATTATAGAAATTATATATTTTTTAAAAATGGACAGAGAACATGAATAGATACTTTTCCAGTGATGATGTACAGATGGCCAATATGCATATGAAAAGATGCACTATATTACTAATCATAAGAGAAATGAGAATTAAAACTACAGTGTAATATCACCTCACACCTAGCAGAATGGCTATTATCAATAAATCAATATGGTGAAAAAGGAAGCCTAGTGCAGCACTGTTGGTGGGAATGCAGATTGGTGCAGCCACTGTGGAAAACAGTATTGAGGTTTCTCAAAAAAGTCAGATAGAGAAAGACAAACATCATACAATTGCACTTATAAATGGAATCTACAGAAAAAATAATTGAACAAAATAGAAACAGATTCCTAGATACAGAGAATAAGTTGTTTGTTGCTAGATAGGAAGGGTTTGAGAGGAAGGGTTAAAACAGTGAGGGGATTAAGTCATACAAACTGGTATTTATAAAATAGTCATGAGGATATAAAGTACAGCATAGGAAATATAGTCATTAAATTGCATTAACTATGTTTGGTGACAATGGGCACTGGAAATAGAAAGGAAATCGTTTTGTAAAGTATATGATTGCCTAACCACTATGCTGTACACCAGAAACTAATATAAATAATACTGAAAGTAAAGTGTAATTGAAAAATAAAAATCAATGTTCTTAAAAATTGATTAAAAAATAAAAGTATACTGTATAATTAAGTAAAAAGAAAGAAAAAATGGTTAAGATGGCCAGCCATGATGGCAAAACATGTAGAGACAGTATTTGCCTCCTCCAAGTCGAAATTACAACTAGCCCTGGACAATGCCTCTAAGTCTGATACTGTTGAAGACTTTTGAGCTCTGTACACCCAAATCTGGTTGTCTAGTCATTAAATGCCTGGCTGTGACTACTCACTTTTTAAGGTTAATATTGAGCCTGTGGGGGAAGATGAGAAATACAAACAAGGAAGATGATGGCTAAGAGCCTTGAACAAACAGCAGAGACAAGTGACCTAAATGCTGTTGTCTGAAGACACCGCTGTGCCTTATTGGAGAATATTTGGTGACTACAGTGATGATGTCTGTGGAGCTGTTGTCGATGTTATAGCTAAAGGTGATAAGATAGCAATATGGACTACTGAATGTGAAAATAGAGAAGCTGTTACAAATACAAGGAGGGTACACAAAGAAAGGTTACAACTTCCTCCAAAGATAGTGACTGGCTATCAGTCCTATGAAAATACAGGTACTAAGAGAGCCATCACCACTAAAGATAGGTTTGTTCTTTGAAAAGAAACCTTCTGTATTTCCATGTCTTTAGTTGTTTTGCTCATTTGTTCATTTTGTTGATTGCTATCATCATTTATAACAAATATGTCTAGCAGGGGAGACAGTGTTCATCAAATGTTTTACTGTCCATATAAAGGAATGGAGAGCACCATTCTCACAGCAGTATTTTCTGTTTGTTCCTGTTGCCCATAACATAATGGAAAAAAAAGTAAAAGAGGCACTCCATCTTATCAGTTCCCCAAATATGCCATTTTCCTTCAGTCAATAGACTAGTATACGGCCACACAGTACATTGTACAAGTTTTCATAACTGTTGCTTTTGTTTAGGGAAACAGCAGGAATGGATTCATTTTGCTTGTCTTGATTTTCTAAACATTATGTGTGCCTTTAAAATCTATGATTTTCTCAGTGTTCTCTTGACGTATCTAGTGTAGTTTTCATTACTGAACCAAATCACATTTCTGTAATTCTAGCAAAACAACAGTCCACATAAAGACTATTTACCACCTAATAATATTAGCTTGGCCAAGAATTTTGTTTAGTTTTCTTCATATGATGGCTCTGTAGCACTTGTCTTTAACTTCATTCAAAACAGTTTTATTGGATTGTATTATGACAGCTGTCATATCAGCATGCATTTAAAAAAAACATAAAAATTGGTGAATTTTTGTGCAGCCATTTTAATATTGAAGATGGAAGAAGATATACAACATTTTCAGCATAGGTAAAAACACAGCTGAAATGCAAAAAAAAAAAAAAAAGATTTGTGTAGTGTATGGAGAAGGTGCTGTGACTGATCAAATGTGTCCAAAGTAGTTTGTGAAGTTTCTGGATATATTGACATTTTGGCCAAATAATTCTTTGCTGTGGGGCTGTCTTATACATTGGAAGATGTTTAGCAGCAACCCTGGCCTCTTCCCACTAGAAGCCAATAGTGGAGGTAGCTGACATACTCAAAACATTCAAATCAATAAAGTCATTGGTGAAAAAATGAAAATGGGTCTTTTATGGAAAAAACTAAATGGACTTTTTGTCCAACCCAGTCCTAATGTCAATTACTAATAATGTCCTCCAGTATTTTAACTCAAATGAATAGATTTTAAAAATAGTTAGTTTTATTCTAAACATGGATAACTTACTTGGTCTGTGTCAGATCAACTACAATGAGATCTTTCTCCAGAAGTACTACAACTGCATAGGGTTCTTGAAATTCTACAAATTAAAAAAAATGAAACAGTTTTCATATTTCATACTTTATAAAGTCAACAAACTATATTTCCTTTATCTGCTGTACAAATTTTATTTACATAATTTGAGAAGACTGAAATATGAGCCAAAGAAAGAAGTATCAAGAGCATTTTTAAAGAAATATGTTATATTTCTCAAATTTAATGTTTATGACCATTATAGGGAAGGAGGGAAAATAAGAAGTTGCATAGCATAGAGCTAAATATACCTAAAAATATGAAGTGATGATGGTAGATTATTTGAGGAGAGTGAGTTTGTCATTTCCATCTCACAAGCATTTATCTTATTTTTCTGTACCTTACATTTTAGATTTAATTTCATGTCTACAAGGAAATATACTAAGGAAACAGTAGTTCTGCTTATCTGATGTCTGATACCTACTCATCTCCCTATGAGAGCAACACTCATACTAAACAATTTGCTTTCAATTCAGTGTGATTTAACATGTATTTAAAGATTGCCTACAATGTTCCCAATGGTACACACCTCAAAAAAACAGAATCTAAGGATAGTCTAGGATTTTCAAGTTCTTAAAATTCAACTCTCCCTTTCTGCTTTCCTCCTTTCCTTTCTTTATGTGTTACAGAAACTTTGTAAGAACAAAGGGAATCTGGAGAGTAAGAGGGACAAGTCCCCATGCTCATAGGGTTTATATTCTAGGGATGTATGCAAACCATGAACAAGTAAACAAATAATTAATTCAGAAAGTAATGTGGGCTATGAAAAAATAATGTTAGTAATGGTATAAGAAATGACATGGTTGGATTGGGAGCACTAATTTAGTTGTAGTGGTCAGGGAAGATATTGCTTTTCATCTATAATAAAGGAGTAATAAGGGAAAGCCAAAATTAAAGTGTTATTCTCAATTTAAAGAAAATGTATTTCCAAAAACATTTTACATACATGGTATTTGATGCTTTGTAGCTATAGCAGGTATTACTGTATTTCTGCTTCATAGGGAACATTGAGGTCCAAAAAGGTTATAAGATTGGCACAAGTCTACAAAGCTAGTAAGTGACAGAATTGATATTTTAACCAAGAATTTCTAACTCTAAATTCCATCCTGCTTTCCTTATACCAGTAGTTTCTACTGGCCAGTTTAAGAGGTATTTAATCATAAATTGAACAATCACTTGGCAGTGACTTTGTTCACAGTGTGGTCTTGGATGGTAAACTGAAATAGATGGCTTTCACAGTCTTTCCAGTCCTGAGAAGTTATAGAGCCTATTCAGAGATCACATGCTATGAGAGAAAAACTAAAACCATGAACTCCAAAACTCAGGAGCATGCCATTGCTTGGGTGCCTATCTATGTGACAGTATGCAGTCATATTGTTTGCTACTCAAACTGTCCTAAAAATGAGGCTCTTTCCCCTCTTCTTCCATATATTTTAGAGCTATTTTTCAACATTGTTTCAATACTTCTAGGTTGTTTTTGTTTGTTTATTTGTTTTGCTTTTCAGTTGAAGAAGACTGTGGTTTGATACTACTGGTTTCCTCTTTTTCTTCTCTCCCCTTGTTTAGAAATATTATCTGTTGGTGAGCATAGATTACTTGCGGGATGGAGGGGGAATACATAAGCAACTTAATAATAGTGGTTGCTTTTGGAAGGGCAGAGAGAAAGCTTTCATTATATACTGTTGTGTATTGTAGGGTACTTTTTGGGCATTTTCATGTATTATTTTAATTAGAACTAGTGAATAAGGTACATTTATATTTTACTGAGTAAGGCTAAACTATTTCTCTTAGTCCCTGACAAATAAAAAGCTCCATCCTCATTACTGCTTCTCAAAAAACAGACATGTATGTGGCTTGGAACTGATTTGACTTGGTTACAATACATGTATAATATATTTAACATTACTAGAAACTGTCCTAACATTTCTACTGATGTACAGAAATTTATATACAAACACACACATAGTGTTTGACCTTTGCAACCACACACTTTGTTTTTACTACTGGCACAGGCAGCTTTCTCTAGGCTCTTTGATTGGAGGAATTTTCAAACGCTCAGCTTTTGGTCCCTTGTTAACTCTTTCTTCCTTTGTTTATCATTGGTTGTCATAACTTCAGAGAACATCTATATTCTGATGTTCACAAATAAATATTAATGACCTCTCCTTTTTCTGTTCTCTAAACAACTCCAAGTCAGATTTATCTTTCTCTCCTTCAGAAAACTGTTATGACTGCATATGAAATCACTATTCTTAAAATATGTTATCTTTGACTCATCTATCATGTCACTCCTAATCCAATTTTTGACCAAATTCAGTGGGTTTTGCTCTTTCCATTCTTACAGGCAGTACTCTGTTTCAGATCTTGACCATTTTAAAGCACATTAGCACAAAAGTCTACCAGCTGGAGTCTGGAAGTTTTTAGACTTCAGTGTCTCTCTCTTCAAACCCACACACTCTTGTTGGGTGAATCTTACTAAAATATTGCTTTCTTTCATCTTAGTATTTCCTCAGAATTCCTCTCTATCTCCCTATTTCCAAATATCTCCAAAAGGCTTTCAATTTTTTCCCTAAATTGACCTCACACTAACAAATCTCACAATTTCTAAAACCTTTACTTAATATCCTTTTTCAAGGCTGAAGTAATTCTTCAAAGCCTATATCTAAATCCTACTTTTCCACAAAGCTCAGCATGGATATTTCAGTCATCAACCTTCTGACTAGCCTTAAATGAGTACATTTCAAAAACTCTTGACTTATATAACTCAGCACTTAAGATGCCATGTTTTTTAAACTGAGGTCATATATCTCCCTCATCTGACTAGACTTCATATAATTTGACATCAGAGCTCAGTTTCCTACTTCATCTATACTCTCAACAAGTTCTGAGTACAGTACTGAGGCCACAGAAGCATCCAATAAGTATTTGTTGATTAACAACACAGGGCAGTAGTCTGTCTCCAGCAACTCTAGAAATAAAGTGTCACATTGATTGTTATCTCCTACCAGCTTAACCCATCTTTTAAATATGAAATTCAAGAATTAAAACACATTAATATATAATAAAATTCCCATAGTTTATAAAGTACATCCACTTTGGTCTTCCAATAACCATTTGCTATCATTATTATTATTCTCTGTCTACAAATGATAAATAAAACTCAAAAATGTAAAGTGACTTACCCAAGGTCACATAGCCAGTAAATGGCAGAGCTAAATCATAAACCCAAATATTCTCCAAGTCCAAGTCGCTAAGTCCAGTGATCTCTCCCCACATGCTCCTTCTTGAAAATGTGGTAATGTATATATACAGTATGGTGCTTTAATAATAAACTCATAATTCCCTTTATATACTTCACCCTTTTAAATGTTTAATTTTCATTGTTAAAATATTTCATTATCACTAGATTCCATTATATAATTTGCATGTAATTTTTATGTTTACAAAAAGTTTTTTTTTGGGGGGAATGATAAAAATATAAAAGCATCTTTCCTCCCAAAGACCCTTCTGACAATTATTCTCAAAACTGAAATAAATCACTAACCACACATCAGCAATCCCAGAGTAATCAGAGGTGCTGCAGTTGCATCTGACACAAAGCCAGATGTGAAACAGATGCAGCACCACCAGAGTTACAGATCACTGATATTAGGTAAGTGCTTTAACTTTGATTAGCATTAGAATGGAATAGGTGGAGCTGGTCTAGGAGAGGCTATTAGGAGACCTCAGTTTCCCCAAGTGATTTTACCCTAGACCCCTATAGGACCCTCCCAGCTCAGCTTCCACCATCCTTATCAAAGTTTAAAGCACTTACCTGATATTGAACCTGAAACTCCAGCATTGCTGCACTACATCTGTTCTACTTCCAGTTCGTCAAGTAGGTACAGTTGCAGAACCTGCTCCAACACCTGTAGCTCACAGTGTTGTATCATAGTAGATGTCAGCTGCCAAAACTAAAAATATTTAAGCTTAATTTTGTTAGGAATGTATTTCAAAAGTAATTTTTCAACATTAATTGCTTCATTTTTAGTTACTTACCATTCGGATAGGGTGTTTCACATAAAGTTAGAAATTCAACAATAGGATGATCCATTTCAAGTACTGTAATTGCTTTTCCATGCATTATGGTTAAACTTGGTCTTCTGCAAGCTTTGTCATAGGACAGTCCACCAGAAAATATTATAAATGGTTCACTACATAGGAAAAAGAGTTAATAAGATGGTGAAGTCTTTTAAGATAACACAATATTACAGGCCTGAGCCAATAAAAAAACAGGCTTGGTGGAGAGTTTATACAACGTGATTACACAGGAGAACAAAAGTCTTTCCTGTCCCAAAACATCTCACCTGACAACTTACTATTTTACCATTTCCTTTTTTTCTGGATGTACACTCTCACCATTAACATTGTTAATGGATCAGTCTTAAGGTGTTGATGTAGCAGGGAGGGAAAGGCAGTGAGTTTGGAGAAAGGTGGTGGTGCTCACTGACTCCAGAATATATCTTTGCATACACTATTGGTTGGTTCCCCAAACTTTAAATCACTACCATTAGAATATAGGCTATGCTAGTTTATCATAATAACCAGCTGGCATGTGAGGCCCCATATCCTTAAAAGAAAAAAGAGGCAAATTTTAATATGAAATAAAATGTGACAGTGGCAAAGGCAAAATGGTAGAAGGTAACATGAAAATTCTGTGTAATGGAGTTTCTATGGGGAAAGGGTTATGATAAAAAGATAGAGAAAACTAATTTGTAAGTGAAAAATAGTTCACCAAAAATAAATTTGATCTTATTCTTGATTTTACTTTGTGCCAACCAGTTCTATTTAGCTTGCAAAATTAACTTTAAACAATTTTTAAATTCTCTTTTAGATGTAAGATACAATTAGATAATAGACTGGGACTGAGATGACTCTAAGACATCATAGCTATTAAAAAGTTATGAAATAGCTTCATAATCTTTCACTTTTGTTTTTCAAATTAATACCCATATCTGTATGTGTATAAAAGAAAATAAGTAATTGTATAAGTATTTTCAATAAGTAAATACCAAACTGCAAATCCTCTTCTCCAAAAATTTTAAAAGAACTACAACTTTTATTGTACCAAATTCTTTGAGAATATGTACTTCTCTAAATAATTAACTTCCATCCATTTGAAGTATCTACTTATTTCTAGGAATCACTCTATAAGACTTCCCCTTCTTTTCCATTTTGTACTGTACATAGTACCAAACATTACCAATGGGACATTTCATGCTGGCTATAAACAAAACAAACAAACAAACAAACAAAACTTCAAAAGTGCCATGAACACATACATATGAAATGCCTATACTAATTTTTATTTATAATTCTGTGTTAATATTTTGATATAAACATTTGAGTTGTAAGCTACATATGCAAAAATGGTCTCATTTACTTTCCTTAAGTCCTGCATCAGTTGACTTGAGCTAATCTTTCTCCAGTAATTTGATATATAAATCACTAACCTACTAATAGTGGTGTCAGGAAACATTTTTGTTCTTTCTATAAACTATATGCTTATATTATTAAGAAGATTTATCCAGATTTAAAAATAATTTCTAATGAAATGAGTATGGGTTTTTGTACCTTTGTTGATGATTGCTTTGTATCGCAACAGGGGTCATGACTTAGAGAACATAGTATCTTTTAATACATACTAACCTTAATATCAGCTCCAAATATTAATGAAGGCCATAACTATCTTTTTCCACGTAAAAATGAGTGAACTCACTCTCATCTTTTAGTATTAATCTAAACATTATAAGGAGCAATTTACTCTCTTTTTTGAAAGCACATTGAAAAATATGTCCTTTCTAATATTAAGAGTGAATCTTTTTTGCTGTCATTATGACTCTGCATCAGAAAATGCTGCATGTAAACTTAATTATATATGCACCTCCCTGTAAACTACTGAATGACTGAATAAAAAGTTATTTACTCAGGAAAATGCTCAGGGAACCACTCACAGATAATTGCATTAGATATTTAATTATCACAGTAAATCCTCATAAGTATTGTCCTCATTTTATTAATGAGGTTAAATAACAACTAAGTGGAAAACCCAAAAGAAAGTTGAAATCAGACTTTAAAGCTTATTCTCCTAAACAGTGGTCTATATTGCCTATACTAAGAAATAGCTACAATTTACTGAGTAATTACCATACATATTGGTAATATATTGGCATATACTGTGCTGTGTGTGCACATAAAATAAATTTTATGTAATCTTCAAAATCCTGTAACCCTCAGCCCTGATGGGGAAAGTATTATTAGTCCCATTTTGCAGCTGAAGAGTCTAGGATTAGTGCAGATTAAATAACTTGTTCAGGGTCAAACAGCTAGTGAGTGGTTAGACAAAAATTCAAATCCAGACTCCAAAGCCCATGTTTTTAAAACATTCTAGTATATTTCTCAGACTGTGGAATACAACTTAACAGGTGTTCTGCAAAAATAAAAATAAAAATAAAAATGTTTTTAATAATGTGATACTTGCAAACCATATCTCCCCTTTGAAATTTTATAATCATGCTACATATTAAAGATTATGAGAAATCATAAAAAATCCAATTTACTCTTGTTTAACCAAGAATTTCTCATATTTCTCAAACTTATTTGATTACAGACTCTTTTTTTCCCCGTGAATACAATTAGTGATTAAAAGGACACAATTCAGTAAGTGCTGTACCATAAAAACTACCTTCTTTATTACCTATTGCAAATGTATGTTGGGTTACTTATCAGATGGATTATTATAAAAGAAATAAATAACCATATAATTTACAATGTGTTTTCATACACAAGGAAAATATTAATAAAATTTAAAGTTATCAGTGCACACAACTTGGATAAATCTCAAAGGTATTATGTTGGTGAAAGAAGCTAGTCTCATAAAGTTACCTAATAAATAACTGCATTTATATGACATCTCAAAAAGCTAAAATCATAGTGATGGAGAACAGATCAGTGGTTGCCAGAGGTTAGGAGTCAGGGAAAAGTTTGGCTACAAGGGATAGCATGAGACAGTTTTAGGAGTGTGGAAATGCTCTGTGTTCTTATTGCAATGGTGATTTTGAGAATTTATACATGTGTTAAAATCCATAGAATTGTACACCAAAATAAAAAAGTCTAACTGTTTATTTTGCAAAATATATGAAACATAATTAAGAAAAAGCATTAGCATTTTGTCTCAATGAAGGCAACAGGATTAAACAATATATTGTATAATATAATATAATATTTATTAAATGACAACATTTGTTAAGTATTTATGATGTTCCAGGTATTATGTGAACAACTTGATATGTATTTTATTATTTAATCCTTATGATATCCCAATGAGAGAGCTACTGTTATTATTCTTATTTAACAGATATGCATACTGAGGCTTGGAGAACTTAGTAACTACACATGAAGTCGGTGGCCATAATAGGAGTAGGTGGCCATAATAGGAATGGATTGAAACAGTAGCAGAAAGTAATTTTTATTTAACCGCAGGGAACCTAATAATGGTAGTGGTAGCAGGTAGAGAGATCTAAATTCCTAATTTTGTACAGGATAAAATTATTATGCCTAGAGGCCAAAGTGCCAATAGACAAATTGGTGATTGGGGAACAACAGTTTCTGAGCAGAATAATTGTTCATCCCTAGAAATGCAAAGCAAGTCTGTGAATGGCTGCTCTTAGATAAAATTGAGAGGAAATATACCTCTTACATCTGCTACCCATGCAGTCCTTTAAAACTCCTATCACTGCAACGTAAGTTGTAGAGCTCTTTGTGAAGTTTCTGCTCTTGTCATAGCTACCCCAATTTTTTATTTCACAGTTTTGACTTTATATTAGAATGGACTGGAGATATAGCTATTTATTTCCACTTCTACACTATGGCCCATTTTGCTGTTGCAATACCTTTCAGAACACTTAATTTCAGTGCTCCTCTGTCTTTACTCTCCTTTTCTAACAGTAGTAATTACAATAAATAGACACAATGTACTAAAGTATACAGTAAAGGGGGTGATAGTAACTATGATTAATAATATATATGTAATTGACATTAGAAATCTGAAGAATACTTCTACACAAAGTTGGGTTAACATTACTATAACAAATCATTAATTTAGGAGCAGTTCTATAATTTTACAATGTGATGTCTATGATGATGACAATAATAATTTCTTTTTATTAAGAAATCCACTATGTGCCATTCATAAAACTTATAACATTGCAAACTTCATGCATAATTTCATTAATCCTCATAAACATCACAAATGAGTAAATTAAAGTTTAAAAGAGTTAATTAAAAATTTCAAAGTCAGCCCTGGCTGGTGTGGTTCGGTGGATTGAGCATCAGCCTGCGAACAGAAAGGCTCAAGGTTCAGTTTCCAACTGGGACACATGCCTGGTTTGGACGCTGGCTCCCCAGTTGTGGGCATGCAAAAGACAACCAATTGATGTTTTTCTCTCTTTCTCCCTCTCTTCAAAAACAAATAAAAATAAAATCTTTAAAAAAATTTCAAGGTCATATAGATATCTTATTCTATAAGCTCATAATCATAATCATTAATTTATACTACCTTGACTTGAAGTCTTGATTCCTGAAATACCTACTCTCCACCTTCACTCTTTTCCTCCCTTTACCATCATTTTAGTAGTATCCCTTTAGTACCATCTCAGGAATCTCAAAAGGAAAGCCAAGATGAAATTTACTGATTTTTCTCCTCACTGTTCTCTCCACTCCCTCTTGGCTGATTTAGATGCCCTTTTGCTGTGCTCTCATAGCACATCTCTATATAAGCACCTCACAAATATAGAAACCACAAGTCTGTGGCCTTACCTCTGTTATTAGACAATAATAGATTCAAAATCAGGTAGTATTCTCTTTCATTTTAGAACACAAAACAAATGACACACACATATATGTTTTATACAAATTTTATATATAAACTATATATACATAAACTAACTGGTTAAGTTGACCATAATTTTATACTATCAAGTCCTTATAATAGCAGATATAAACAAACATTAAATGTACCTATGATGCTAAGAAAACATTATAGTGTAAGCATACAAGTAATACAAATTAGGATTATCCAATTTAGAGTAAAAAAAATAAAATTTGGAATTATTACCATAATTCCAAATATTGGAATGGCAATTGGAATGGTATTGCCACTAATTATTACAAATAAAAAGGACATTGTTGATATGTAGGATATGGCTGCTATGTATACAGGCTAGAATTTTATTAAATATTTTTTCTTCAATTTTCTATATATTAAAATTTAGTACTAATTTTATGTCAATATACATAACTGTTTATCTTTCAAACTAACTATAATCCTTTCTTTCTTTCTTTTTTTAAAATATCAATTGATTGCCTCCCATACATGCCCTAACTGGTTCCAAACTGCAACACAGGCACGTGCCCTAACTGGGGATTGAACCCACAACTTTCTCGTGTACAGGATAATCCTCCAACCAACTGAACCACCTGGCTAGGGCAAACTAACTATAACCTTTTCAATTTCAGAATGTAAAACCTAAAGTACAAAGGCCTGGTTATGTATTTAATTCTTTCATGTACAATATTAATAGGTAAATGGCTCACTTAATAATGCTAAATGACTGCTACTCATAATGTGCTTGGACAAAAAGTCCTACATTGTCAAAATTAATATATATAATACTATCTGAATATTGATAGAAAATTTAAAATAATTAAGTTGCTATTTGTAATATTCATAATGATCATCATAGATATGTTTATTAAATAATAGGAATCTGTTATTATTAATGTAAAGGATTCAGCTAGGTAATATAATTATGTAAAAATAAATAAAATATAAACATTAAAAATTATCTGCCTTTCCTGTGTCTGTTTATTACATATTTTCCCATGTTCTCCAAAGTAAAAAGGCATACCTGTTTCTACAGGTCTTGTATTCTACTTTAAGAATTGGTTTGCAAGATTCAGATTTTCTTCCTTCTCTTTGACTTTTTCCTAAAGAAAAAAAAAAGAATTTTATTAAATCTGATTTAAATTCTACTTATACAAGAGAATTAAGAAGTTGGACTAAAAAAATACAAATAATGTAATTGTGTGTTTTTACTAATGGGATAAACATATCTATACAGCCTAACATTTTTGTAGGCTAACAATTGATTGCAATGTAATTAATGAAGTTATATGTAAACTTATCAAACCTGTATTGCTTTACATTCTCCATGTATAAATATAGTCTTATATAAGATTATTTTAATTACTTAAGTTTCAAGATAAGTAATTTTTGAATTGAAAATACACACATACATATTTATGTACATAATGAAATGTATTATGAAAGTCCATACTAGGCTCAACATTTTATCTATAATACAAGCAAACCCCATTTATATGTAGAAAAACATGCTATTCAAAGCTTCTGATAAGACTATCAAAATCATTGTAATTTCATTAAGTTCATTTAAAGAAAAGTACTTCAAGGAACATGTATCATGGACAAAGCCAAAGGGGGTAGGTTCAAGGGTGGAAGCAGGGATGGGTGAGGTGAGAGGCCAAGGTGGGGTAAAAATAAAGACAACTGTACTTGAACAACAATAAAATATAAAATAAAATAAAATTATATTTGGATATAGTGAGTTAAATGAAATGTTAAAAAAAGGTGGGAGAAAATAAGCAACATTTTCAGTATATAATGCTTTAGTATTTCAAGAAAGGTAAAAATAGCCCTGGCTGGTGTAGCTCAGTGGATTGAGCGCGGGCTGGGAACCAAAGTGTCTCAGGTTCGATTCCCAGCCAGGGTACATGCCTGGGTTGCAGGCCATAGCCCCCAGCAACCGCACATTGATGTTTCTCTCTCTCTCTCTCTCTCTCTATTTCCCTCCCTTCCCTCTCTAAAAATAAATAAATAAAATCTAAAAAAAAATTAAAAAAAAAGAAAGGTAAAAATACAACTGAAACACAAAAGAAAAGATTTGTGCTGCGTATGAAGGTGTTTTGTCTGATCAAATGTGGCAAAAGTGGTCTGCAAAGTTTTGTGCTGGAGATTTCTCACTGGATGATGCTCCACAGTCAGGCAGACAAGTTAAAGTTGAAAGTGATCAAATAAAAACATTAATCAAGAACAACTGATGTTATACCACGTGGGAGATAGCCTGCATACTCAAAATATCTAAATCAATAAAGTTATGGCTGAAAATGAAAAGAAAAATAAAGAAAAGTCCATTAGACCATAAATGCAGATGGTATATTTCATGATCTTTAAAAGTAAGTTTAATGATGTATTATTCCACTTACATGTAACAAAAATAATAGTTTCTTGTATGGGAAAGGTTATGTTGTTTAGATTCCATAAGATTTTGAATGAGAAATCAAAAAGTATGAAATGGAAACAAAGGTACTTACTCTGCATCTAACATACTTATCTTTCTATATATGCTTTTCCTTATATCCTGACTCATTTTAATAAAATTGATAGTTTTAGATAATGTGTTTTTTTTTATATTTTAGTAAGTACCCTTATTTATTCTTGGATTGCCACAGTTGTTTGTAGACACAGATACCTATATATGTTTAAATATTTAGGATAGCTTTAGAATGGCACATTGAAATAAAAATAGGATATCAAGATAGTCACATTTATTTTATTTAAATGGTAGGGTATCTGCATCCAACATGTCTTATCTGCTCCATGGCATGCTTTCTAAAATTGCCTTTTCTTTTACCCTATGTCAATAAAGAAGCAATCAATAATAAAAGACTGGTAATAATCATTCTCATTGTAAAAATATATAAAAGTATCTCTCTTATATAAAAAAGAATTGCTCAGGACTCACTCTGAACAGTGATCTCAGGGATGAGGAACAGCTGGTTGGTGATTACTGGTTTTGGTGATGAGTGGGGATAGAGAGAACTGAAGGAAGTGACAGAGCCAGGAGAGAGACCCATCCTTTTCACAGTAATGTCTTTTTTAGCCAGTGCTTCTCTAATAATTCCTGGGCCATTGATTAACAATCAATATATCTATACTGTATATTAATAATCAGTAAATCTATAACCAAAATAGTATATCTATAATTGTTTATATATATATGAAAGCAACTACTATTTTTCAATCAATATTTATCAGTATTATATACTTATTTTAGTAGAAAAATTATCTAATTAATTAATGTTTTACTTCAATTTCCAACTCCCAAATTAATATTTGGGCAAGGAATTTCTGCTCTGATTATATTTTTACCTGTCAGTAATTAAAATATGCTTAAATGTCATATTGCATAAATCATAATAAAAAACTGCATTTTTTGATACTCCTTATGTTCAGAGTGCTGTGTCAATTGCCAGGGCACTAAGAAATAACTGACCATCAAGAAGCTTAAAATTTACTAAATTAAACAAAACAAATATAAAAATGACAATATGAGGTATCATAGACAAATGAGAGATAGACATAGTGTTGTAAGAGTTGAGAATGAAAGGGTAGTTTCCTTATTATAAGAGAAGACTTTCTAGAGTTCTATTTAAAAAACTTCCTGGATGCTAGATTGAGCTTTAACAGATAGAGTTTGAGTAGGAGAGCAATAAAAAAGACATGGAGGCAGAATGTGCCTAGTGTGTTGAGGGACTAATGGAATAATGAACATTATAATTGCATATTTCTTCTCCAATCTTCTCTTAACTGACTTAAAATATAATTGTGTGAATAATATATATACAATTATTATGTGGAATATATAATATATTTGACAATAACAATGCAAAAGAGGTGGATGGGAAAAAAGTTATACTAGAATAAGAAAATGACAACAAATAGTAACTTGAATCCACAGGAACAAATGAAGAGAACCATAAACAATAAGTAAAAAGTTTAATGGAATGGATTCTATAAATATATATTTGATCTATTTTCCTTTGTCAGCTTCTTTAATAAGACATTTAAATATATAAAGTAATAATTATAACAATGTATTGTTGCATTTGTAACACATATAATATGTCAGGAGAAGACATAAGGGGAGATTTGGCTTCCACTGCTCTTTCCCTTCTCCAGTGAGAACCCTAAAGGAAGCTTTCTTAGGGTTCTTCCTGATCTCCTGTGTGGTCACTTGGTAGGATTCATGGAGGAAAATGCTGCAAAACAGTGCACAGACCTATGTTTGTAGTCCCAAATGACTTCATACCTTCACATTAGACCATATTCATCCTTTAGCAAGTCATCAGAAAAAAACATTTGCTAAATCTTTCTACTGGTGCTAGTGGTATCCAATGATATCTGCCCTAGACAAGCAAAGGCTCATATCTTGTCCCTCCCTGCAGGTACCTTTTTCTCCCCAGATTTTAAGTTAATTGTTTGCCCTGCCACCTTACTTCTCTAATGAGTTCAATAAAAGTTATTAATTTGCAGTTTCTCCAGCTTTTCGTTGTTGTATGAGTGGTAATGATGCTCCTTGCAGCTTTCTATATCTATGTGGAGATATAAAAACATACTTCCAAATAACACAGAATCTATAAAGAAGAAATATTAAAAGAAATTTTAAAACATCTTTAACTAAATGAAAATGAAAATGCAATTTATCAAAACTTATGAGATGGAGCAAAAGTAGTGCCTGGAGAAAAATTTATAGCATTGAATGCATATATTACAAAAGAAGAAAAATATAACATCAATTATATAAGTTTCTACTTTAAAACATTGGAAAAAGAAGAGCAAATTAAATCTAAAGTAAGCAGGAAAAAAGAAATAATAAGAATTAGAGTAGAAATAAGTGAAATTGAAAGCAAGAAATCAACAGAGAAAATCAAGGAAATATAAAGATGATTCTTGGAAAAGTTCAACAAAATAGATAAGCATTTAGCCAGGCTAATGAAGAAGAAAAAAGAGAGGACACAACTGACTAATAACAGAAATAAAAAGAGGACATCACTACAGATCCCAGGGACAAAAAAAGGATAACACTACACCCACAAATTTGATAAGCTATATGAAATGAACTAATTCTTTAGGAGACACTATTTGCCAAAACTCACACAAGAAGAAAGAGACAACCTGAATAGGTCTACATCAATTAAGGTCTACATCAAATTGAATCAATAATCAATAACCTTCCAAAATAAAGCATCAGTCCCAGATGGTGAACTCTACCTTATGTTTAAGTAATAAATTATACCAATTGCCTGCAATCTCTTTCAGAGGATAGAAGCAGGGGGAATACTTCTTAACTCATTCTACAAGGACAGCACTACTCTAACACCAAAACCAAAAAAAAATTTACAAAAGTGCAGACCAATATTTCTCAAGAATATTAATATAAAGATCTTCAAGAAAATAGCAAATCAAATCCAACAATGTATAAAAAGAATTCCACACCATGACTAAGGGAGCTTTATCCAAGGTGTACAAAGCTGGTTCAAATTTCAAAAACCAATTAATATCACATCGACAGGCTAAAAAAGAAAAAACAATATGATTATACAAATCGGTGAAGGAAAGCATTTGAGAAAACGCAACACCCATGCATGATAAAAACTCTCAATAAACTGGAATACACCTAAACATAATAAAGGTCATATGTGATAAACCCACTGCCAGCATTACATTCAATGGGCAAAAACTACAAACATTCCCCTTAAGATTGGGAACAAGAAAGGGATGTCTGCTTTTACCACACTTATTCAAAAAGCACTGGAAGTCCTAGCCACAGCAATCAGACAAGAAGAAGAAATAAAAGGCACCCAAATGTGAAAGGAGGAAGTAAAACTGTCATTATTTGCAGATGACATAATACTGCACATACAGAGCTCTGAAGATTCCAGCAAGAAATTTCTAGAACTGATAAATGAACTCAGCAAAGTAGCAGGATACAAAATTAATATCCAGAAATCAGTTGCATTTTTACCTGCTAATATGAACTACCAGAAAGCAAAATTAAGAGAACAATCCCATTCATGATTGCTTAAAAAAGAATAAAATACCTAAGAATTAATCTAAACAAAGCCAT